TTGTTTTTTTTTTCTCTTAGCCTCGCAGTGAAGGCAGGAGTCCGGGACAAGCTCTGATAGAAAACCTCTGCATGAAGGCTGTTAATCAGTCAATAGGTAATGAGACGATAACCGTTGCTGCCGATTCTTCCGATTGTAACGTTTACTTTATGACGTGTACTTTATGACCAGAATCCGTGATTGTGTTCGACTGTCTCTGTTATAGGAAGAGCCATACGTCACCGCGGTGATTATTCATCTATTGTGCTCTGTGACAAACGCTATTCCAGACCTGCCACACTCGCCAAACTTCCAACATGGATCAAAGATCGCACCAGCACATGCAAGTCCTTTGGGCCAGCTTTCGCTTCATTACGGAAGGTAACAATTCTTCTTATACTTTCAGAAAATTGCTTTTTTTAACTCGAGCACCTACTAAACTGGTACTTTTTCTTCAGTTCTTTCAGGGAAAGAACCAGAAGCAGTCCGAATAATTTTGATGTCATACAGTTGAATAAAGATGAGTGTCAAGAAAATGTGAAAGACCTTTTAATATGAGTTAACTTCACTGTGAAGCTTAAGGCTGAAGAGACAGAAAAGAAAAAAAAACCCTAAGAATGTTACAATGAATTGCAATGTTCAATTCGAGGAGTTTCTATAACTGCTTATTTCCAGTGTAACTGTTGATGGTAACAAATACTGTCTGTTAGTACTAGCCTTGCGAGATTTAAGCTTCCCAGTCGTCGTCATCTGTCGTCGACTGTGGGGCAGGAAGAGGTGGGATGACGTCGGACATCCTTGCAAATCCAGCAGCCGCACCTTGGAAAGTGTCACTCGATTCACCTGCTGGGCCTTTCCCAGAAATACCTACACAAAGGGTGAAACAAATGATTCCCCGCATACAAGATACAATCGCGGAGGTCTCGAGTGTAACGTTAAAACGGATTCTTACCTTTTCGTCGCATGGCAAGTTTGTTGAAGAGGTCTGACATAAAATCTCCACCGCTGGACACCGCTCTCACTACGACGAGACAAACAACAACAGTAAATAAATAGAATAGCTAGCAGTAATTACAAGAATCACTTAACCCTCCCCTTGCATTTTGTACACAAGAGCACGAGAATGCTTGCGACAGTTGAGAGCAGGTTGAGTCCCCCCCCCCCTGTGCATTCCAACTACAGTCGGGGCGCCAAAGCAGGAAAGAGCTAACGTGTAACCGGCTGTGTTACAGGCACTCTTTTGAGAAAAAAAAAAATTATTTAAAAGTGAAAATATCCCATGTTACAACATGGACACCTGCGGCTTATACAGAAGTGCTTTTTAAATGTAGTGGGTGTGGCTTATATTCAGATGTGCTCAATAGTCCGGAAATTACGGTATTAGTGCAGGATATTACAGGGTTATCAAAAGCTTCTATAAAGCAGTAAAAAAAAACTAGACGAGATTCTGGTAATTTATTATAATTTCTTTGCCATGGAAAAGTGCCTGCGACCCACATTTTGGGGCCCTAACTCACCAATGGCGAATCTCTGGTGTTAAGCTATGACCTGGGTCAGCTAACCAAAGGCAAACTTGACTAGATCAAATATTTAATGTTGAAAGACTCATCCGCAATTGAAGTTAAAATGTGTAAATGTCATTCAAATATTACACAGCCAAGATTAAACTTTGCACCTTGCTCCTGTTCCTTCTGCTTCTTTTTCTCTAATTTGCGCTCTTTGACGTTGCGTAACTTGGCTTTGCCGATGCCTCCAGCATTGCGAATGGACTCCAGCAGGTTGGCGCGGCCATCTGACGGTTGAACCACCTCACTGGGAGCTCCAGACACAGGACCTGCAGAAAGCAGATGAAAACAGTATGTCATTAAAAAAAAACAAAAAAAACTCATGCACTTCCTGTTGGCAAGAAAATCAATCATTCTGCCATATACATTACCATAATCCAGAAGTTGGGTAATATATTAGTGTTTCCAAAATTTCATTGGTCACTGCGTCCATCCATGACGCAGCGCCAAACAATACGTCACAAAATATACAGTGATCCCTCTCCTACCGCGGTAGTTGCGTTCCAAGACTTACCGCAAAAAGGGAAAATCAGCAAAGGACGGGCGACATAGTTATGATATTATTAACATATATATATAATATATGTAATATATTATATATATATATAAAATATATGATATATATATGATATATATTATAATATATATATATTTATATAACATATATATAAGGGTATAAATATATATATAAAACATATATATATATATATATGTATATGTATATATATATTTACCCTTTACGAACCTCCCCCACACCGTTACCAACCCTACCTAGATTGTATTACCCTTTCCCGCACAATTATATACACCGAGTTGTATGATGGGAATATAAGACATACATATTACGTAAATAAATGAAATACATGACCATAAAAAAAAAATATATATATATATAATATAAATTAAACTCAATGTAGCCTCTCCTTATATTAGTAGGAGAGAGGTTAGTGAACAGGAGTGAGGAGTGATACTGGCCAAGACGGACGGACCGTGTATATAAAAGCCGGGTCACAGCGCAGGAGCACACATTATTGTAAAAGAAAAATAAAGGCTGGTAACCGTCATCCGTGTCAGCGTCTTCGCTTCGGGCTTCGTAACAAACCTGAGAAGACGATCAGAGCGTTTAGGAGGCATCGTAGGACGTTAAATTAGGGCGCCACTGGTGGACAAGGGGAGATGTTGAAAGATGCTACGATGCATGAGCGTGCAATCAGCGTTGAGGAACAGAAGTGCATGCTCGATGCTGTGTTCGTTAACAAAGCTAAAGCTAGTTTTTTTTTTTGCGATAATTTTACTGTTAATCTGAATTTTGGGGGGTTTTTTTGTTGCATGTTACGAACCTGAGCTTATTGCTAAAGGGACTTCTGGACAGCGGTTCACAGGAGGAGGTGGTGGAGGCGGCGCTCCAGCAGGGCCAGTGGAGCTGACGATGGGCTCAGGTGGGGGAGGAGGCGCGGGGGGGGCAGGAGGGGGTGCGCGGGGGGGCGGTGGGGGGTGGCGGTGGGCGGGGGGGGGGGGGGGGGCGGGGGGGGGGCAGGAGGTGGTGCATCGAGCTGCAACTGACTTCCTGTAAAGAGATAAAAGGCAATGACATGTACAAAGATACAGTGTGTACACGCACTAAACTAAAACAATTCCATGACACCAAGCATAGTTTCCACCAAGTAGGATATTTGCTCTTACAGCAGGCATGGGCAAACTACGGCCCGGGGGCCATATTCCCTGCAATGCCCACATTTCTCCAATAGATGGTGTAGAAAAGGCTTTAAGCATTTTAGAATTTTAACCTTTTTGACACCTGTCTCACAGTTTGGTGTGTTATTCAATTGTTTGTTAAATGTCATTTTGCGCAACCATCTGAAATGATTTGAAGCTACGGTGTCTTCCGACCAATCAGACCAGGACATTTCTTCTCGGAGAAGAAAAAATTCACGTGTCCCAAGTAAACAATCAGATCAGCCTCAGAGCTGTAGGAAGTGTATTTTCAGGCCCAATCTTGTGCGCTATATTGTCATTTTTACATGGTCCTTATGACATAACAGTATTAAAGGAATTATTGCCATTTGCCTCAATGGAAGTGCATGGTGACAAAAAAAAAAATATTCACAGATCTGTAAACAAGACGTACTGCTAGAGACAAACGAAGGAAGCTCAGGGATGCTCTGCAGAAATCCTGAAGGAGCAAAACCAGGACCAAGGTCGGCGCTGTAGGACAGGTCATCTGCTATGCCTGGCAGGTCAGGCAGATACGATGGCACATCTAGATCAGGCACTTCTCCCAGGTCTGGCACATAAAAATAACTTTCTGCTGTCTGAAAGAGAAAGGTGAAAATGAAAATCAATTGCAAATATATACGACATTAATAGGTATTTGGACAAATTGATCTTATCATAAACCATATGTAAAAATATAAACACGTCACGTAAGCCTGAAAGGAGCTATCTTAAAAGTAAAATAAAAACTTGTCACAAATAAAAACAAATGTGAAACACATACATGTGCCTATCGTTATTTCTTTTTTGCTTTCCGGCAACATGCAGAAACAAATCCGATTCAAATTTTGATCTATTGACATGCCTCATAATGACAATCCTAATCCCTCAAATTCAACATTGGACACATCTGAAAACCAAAAGTATTAGGCCAGACACTTGCAATAACTGCTCTGTAGGTCATTTGGTCCCGGGCCGCAGTGGGACACCGTGAAAAAAATGTACTTCAGTTTCACTTATTTCCTTCATTTAAAAATAATTCAGTCACATCCCTTTAGTTTTTTCCATTAAAAGATAATCTGGCAATGTTTCCAAACAAAAGGTCAGTCAGAGGTGTGGACTCGAGTCACA